GTAATAATACATTGTTTTTCAGAATATCCTGAATCATTATCGAGATTCGATATTTAAAAGACAATTATTTGATTGTCTATAATTGTCATCTGTATACATGTTTCATATATATATATATATATATACACACATATACATATATATATATACATATATACAGGGTGTCCCATTTTAATGTCCCCCAAATAACTTTTTTATTTTTGGTCTTAGAAAAAAATGTTTCAGACAAAAGTTGTATGGCTTTGAGGGAAATATAAGGTGGTGTCATTAGTTTGACCTTGAATAGTTGCTTGAATGTCACGTGAAGGTTACCTTCAATTTCTTAAATGGAACCTCCTACTTTTTATATGTAGCATTGTATTTTGTAGATCATTTCGACAGTTTTCCAAAACATATAATTAAGTACCTTTTCGTTAAGGTTAGTAATGTAACTCCATTAAGTTATAAGGCCGGATCTTGCCTTTATCTTGCCTTGATCGACCGGATCGTGCCTTTATCTTGTCTTGATCGGCTGGATTAACTTAACAAGTTCTTAACGAAAAGGTACTTAATTATAGTGTTTTGGAAAATGTTCTCGAGATGATCTACAAGAATGTGCAATAAAAAGTTCCGTTTAAGAAATTGAAGGTAACCTTCACGTGACCTTCAAGCAACTATTCAAAATCAAACTAATGACACCATCTCATGTCTCCCTCAAAGCCATACAACTTTTGTCTGAAACTTTTTTTCTAAGATCAAAAATAAAAAAGTTATTTGGGGTGTCTAGACATTTTGATATTAAATTTTCGTCTCAAAAAGATCTCGGGAATGTACCCTTAAGCGTTGTTACGGTCTTTACCGTCTTTACCGAATATCCTGTATTTAAAGACTTTGACGATCATGGTAGTTTCGCAGAATTCAGGACTCATATGTGACACCAAGATTGTCGAATATAAATAGCAGATTGCAAAGATGGATTGTTATTAATGAAAAATTGATTCATCAAGTTCTTACAAGTTTTACGTGAACACATTACGAGTCTTAAGAGTCTACTTAGAATTGGCCCGTTAGTTCAGAGAGCTATTATCTTTTATAATTTTGAGCTTATATTTTTGTGCAACTAGTTCTGCGGAGTGACACGGCCTTTTTTTAACTCATTTGTTCCCAGACAACAATGTCCAAAATCGAAATACAAGACTATGTTATCTGGGTTATACAACGATGATATATTCGCCAACCGTTTAATGCGAGATGTACGTAAGCGAATCAACGACGCCGAAGCATCTGGAAGCATTGAAGCTCCGAACGTTAAGACGTTCGTCCTTGTCGACGTGTACAATTTACTGTCTCGCATTGCGATTCCATTGTAAAAATATGTTGAATCTCCGTGCGAACGATCTCGTGTTGCGCGAGTAAAACTTCGAATCGAGCAGTTTTCAGGTTTAACGAGAGCCACGCTAGCCTCGCACATTGCCGGGAGATGCGAGCGTGAACGCGACTCGTCGACGAGCACACATTCGACGCGGAATACTGCCGTCCGTTTCTTCTGCCATATCCGCGTCGAACACGAGACGCTGTGATAGACGAGATTCATAGCGTAGCAACAAGGGAACCGCGGGTAAGTATACTGCCGATATCACGATATCGCCGAGAGATGGTACGCCGTTGAAAGAGATGCTCTCGATCATGCACATGATTCTACATGAACGCAAGCACGTGCGCAGTGATTCACAGTAATCACAGCTGAGTCGGCGATGGCACGCGTAGCAATCGTAAATAGTGATCGGACGCGACAACGTTAATAAGACGCAAAAAGTTGTCAGCACTGACTTGAAATTTTCATTCCCTGATGCGAACAATTGGCAGCGAGAGAGCGAACAGCAGCCGAGCGGTGTCCCGGTGACGACATTCACGTTCGCACGATGAAAGGTCGTATCAGGCTGAGTATCCGTCGCGACGCCAAGAAATCTTGAAAATGGCGACGTATTCGTTGCCCGCGCGTTTTTACTTATCCGGCGACCTTCGAGAAAGGATCTGGAACATCACGCGTCGGAAACGAAGCGCCTCACGCGCCATCTGCGACAATGACGCGCCGCCATGTTGGGTTCGTTGCATGGGAAGTTTGGGAACGACGAGCAATCCATCCGATTGAAAGTATTGAAACGAATAAATAATGTATTTTTTTTCGCTGAGACAATGATAAACCTTTTTTTGACATGATAGACAACAACTACAACGGGTGCATTCAGTACATTTTTACGAGCCGTTCAAACTAGCCATTTCAGGACAAAAAGGATCACATGATCCAAATTGGCGCTTACTAGGAGCCTGCGCACAATAGAACAAATATTAGGAATAGGAATAAATAGATGCGTTCAAGTTGTCAAAGCGGCTAACCTGCTCGCCGAGCATAATTGGTTGTTTCTTATAGATCCAACCAATCATATTCAATCGCTCGATAAGCATGCCTAGCCGCTTTGTCGTCTTAAACTCGCCCATTGCTTGAGATTAAGTCCGGATCTACAATAGGTGTTTTAAAACTTAAGCCGTAAGAAATTGACCAATTACAATCGAATCCGAGGGGAATAATCGACTGTGATTCGCCCATTTCTTATGGCTTAAGGCTTAAAACCCTATTGTAGATCCGGGGTAAGGGTCACTGGCTATATTTACACCGTGCATTTAGGCCGCGGCCTATACAATAGATGCCCTTGTTTATTCTGTTGGTTAAACAAAGACATCTATCGTATAAGCCGCGGCCTAAATGCACGGTGTAAACGTAGCCACTGTTACCAAGCTCAGTTAACTTAACTGGCCAGTTAGTCCATCGGAATTGACCAATCGCATTTGTCATTTTGTTTGCTTCAAATTGCGATTGGTTAATTCCGATGGACTAACTGGCTAGTTAAGTTAACTGAGCTTGATGACAGTGGCCCTAAAGCCTGTATCAGACTACCGACTCTGACTGCCGATCAATAATGGGCCAATCACAATATGACTGATTCAATATGATTGGTCCATTATTGGTCAACAGCCAGAGTTGGCAGTCGGGTCGGCTTGCAGAATCGGTAGTTTGCATTTGCTTTATCGGCTTGTCCAGGAGAGAGGTTAATTTTTACTTTTATAATATATAGTTGATTATTTATTATTATACATATTTATTGAAATATGATTTAAGCAATATGAAGAATATTGGACTGATGAGAATAAATTTAATTAAATAAAGGAATCCTATATTCGGTCATGCAATATGTAGAATCAGAAATAAATTCACAAAGAATTATGTATTTAATATTAAGAGCCATAAGAAATGGGCGAATCACAGAAGACTATTCCCCTCGGATTTGACTGTAATTGGTCAATTTCTTGTGGCTTAAGGCTTAAAACACCTATTGTAGATCCGGACTTAGTCCGGACTTAGGCCTAGTGCTGCTAGTACTGACAGTGAGATACGGAACGCAGCCACTGAGTAGATCCCGCATGAGCGCTCAGTGAGCACGTGTATTGTAAAGTCGCTGGCGATTGCGGCCGTATCGAGGCGACTACGTTCGCTCAAGTCGCTCAAATGAACAAAAATGAATCGTTGAGCAGATATGGATCTCTTGTCGGTGCGATCGACGAGGGAACGAGCAGTGCAAGATTTCTGGTTTGAACAATTTTTTGTCTCATTATGTCAATGATTATATTGTGAGATAATGCATTGTCGCGAGATTGTGGTTACTATAGTCGGGAAATCTCGAAAATGCAACATACTTATATGTATACAATGCTGTGGTTAAATCAATTCTCTTCTAGATGTTAAAATAAATTGTCACAGTTTAACTTGAAAGATATTAAAAACAGTATGTATATAGTTTTATTTGTGACAATTTGTAATGACATAGTGATGATGTTTATGAAGAGATCTATAACAAGGCTATATCTCTTACCATTCGTTTCTTATGTCCGTTAATGATCATTAATGATTGTTGTTAGAGTAATTATAACATAATATTTTTGAAATACTGTAGTCAGGATGTAATTAAAAGGTACGGCTGAATTTTGAGATCACATTCCTCATACTTAGAGGATGGAAATATATGATTATGGATCCAGAAACGCTTCATTTCCGAATTGTTAGAACTCTTTCTAGTAATCTGTATAAACGTACAAGTTAGTTATTTTTATTTGGAATGTTTGGAAAATACAACCTTAATGACCTCAATAAGTTAGTTTTCTTTTTGTCCACTTTGCTTAATAAAAAGTATATTGGTATAGTTTGATAGTGTTTCTGAAATAACACAAAGAAGTATTTCTGGATTTATGTTCATATTTTATTCTTTAGATAAGGAACGTTTCTCTATAAAGTTCGGTTATATCTTTTAGTTATATCCTGTATAAGTTTCTTCTTTATCACAATAATTCTCTATTACATTAATATAGGTTTTTGCAGCTGATACAGCAGAAGTATTAACATATCATCAAGTATCGATACCACAGACATGCCCAAAAGAGGGATGGGTTGAACAAGATGCTTTAGAGATATTGGAAGCAGTTAGGGAATGCCTGAAGCAAACTGTATTTAACTTAAGGCAGTTGACAATAGATCCAGCTGATATAGTTGCAATTGGTATAACAAATCAAAGGGAAACTACGGTTGTATGGGATTCTGTAACAGGAGAACCACTTTATAATGCTATAGGTAAAATTGTGTTATTATAAATGTTATATTTTTCATAAATTGTAATAATTTACATGATTCATCATTTTTGATAATGTATTATAGTATGGATGGATATGAGAACAACATCAATTGTAGATGATATATTGAAGGATATACGCAATAAAAATAAGAATTACTTGAAGCCACTTTGCGGATTACCAATTAGTCCATATTTTAGTGCATTGAAATTGAAATGGTTGTTAGAGAATGTACCTCGAGTTCAAGAAGCCTTAGCTGCCAGACGTCTCATGTTTGGTACCATCGATTCCTGGCTAATTTGGGTTTGTTCGCGCAGAGCAAGCATAATATAGATAAATTTTTTTATACTGATTCAGATTAATAATTAATTTTATAATTAGAATCTGACAGGTGGTGCCAATGGTGGTGTTCATAGTACAGATGTAACGAATGCTTCGAGAACAATGTTAATGAATATTGTGACGTTGAAGTGGGATCCTACTCTATTATCATTTTTTAAAATACCTCCTGAAATTTTACCTGAAATACGAAGCTCTTCTGAGATTTATGGTTATATACAAGACGAGTTGCTACAGGGTGTTCCTATATCAGGAGTATGTAATCCATTTCTTTTATTAAATATAACATAGAATATCGAGATATAATATTATAAATATATCAAAATAAAAAAAATTTTATTAATATAACTTTATACAGAGATATTAATTGTAAGTGTTAAGATAAATTTGATTCAAATACATAAAAAATTATTCGTTGCAGTGCTTAGGTGATCAACAATCAGCTTTAGTAGGTCAGATGTGTCTACAGCAAGGACAGGCAAAAAGTACTTATGGCACTGGTTGCTTTCTTCTTTACAACACTGGCACAGCTGTAAGAGAAATTTTATTGTATCGTCATGACATGTTGTATACATTAGATAAGATATAAATTTAAACAAATACAATTTTGTATCTTTGAATGTTATAGATTGTGGATTCATCCCATGGTTTATTGACGACAGTTGCTTATCAATTAGGACCGCATGCTTCTCCGGTATATGCTCTTGAAGGTTCTGTAGCAATCGCAGGTGCCGTTATACAGTGGTTGAAAAATAACCTTGGAATATTAACTAGTGTAAAAGACTGTGAAACTATTGTCGAACAAATGCCCGTAGGGCCCAATCGTATTGTTTTCGTGCCAGCATTTGCTGGATTATATGCTCCATACTGGAGGAAAGATGCGCGAAGGTAGTTTTATCATATATAATATAATAGAAACGTTGAACTACTTTGCAACAATATCTAAGTATAACAAAAAGAGTCAAGAATAAGATATACTGCCATAATGTTGTAAAATGGTATCAGATTGTCATATACATATAGTATGTTAATAAGAACTAGCATATCCTTTTTGTTACTTTTTGTTACAATATGAATTAATTATTTTCAGTGTTATATGTGGTATTAGCGAAGATACAACCAGTGCACATATTGTAAAGGCAGCTCTGCAAGCGGTATGCTTTCAGACGAGAGATATTTTGGAAGCTATGAAGAAGGATACTGGTTTGACGCTGACAAAGTTGTTAGTTGACGGTGCAATGACGAATAACGATTTGTTAATGCAAATGCAAGCTGATATTTGTGGAATTCCAGTGGGTAGGAAGAACATTTTTTCAAATACATACTATTAGATTAAAAGTTAATAGATTATACAAATAAATACAATGTTTTTTATACGAAAGTTAGACCATTAATGTGTGAAACTACTGCACTTGGAGTCGCAATTGCTGCGGGTAGCGCAGAAGGAATACGAAAATGGGATGTGAAGATTGATGCTGCTATTCCCAGTGACACCTTCTTACCATTAATAACTGAGAATGGTGATCATCTCGCAATAATCATCCTTTATTACAAATATAAAAATTTTTGACTATATGGAGAGATTAATTGATTAATATATTAATTTTAGAACGCGACATTTTATATTCTCAGTGGAAAATGGGTATTGATAAAAGCTTAGGTTGGGAGCCACTCCCAGAAACAAGTGGTAAGCCTTTAATAATAAATCTTAGCAATGAAATTGATATACTAATAAATATTAATTGCAGATATTTCTATTACAGATGATACAGAGGATATACATAAAGTTACTGCTCCCGGTGTATTTATAATTGGTACCATAATATTGCTTATGGTTGCTAAGTATAGATCTACTTAATAAGTTTGTTAAGTACTGTGTACTGTGTATTGTATTTAGGCAGAATCTGCTTATTAATACGATTGAAAATAATACAATTGAAATTAATACATCTGCTTACCATAAGTATGTTGCGTTGTTTTTAATTTTTATTATTTATATATTATAGTAATATTTATGGATTGAAAAAGAGTCAAGAATAAAAAGTGCCAGAATATCGTAAAATAGTTAACAGATTGTCATACGCATATAGTATATTAATAAGAAATGTTTGAAAATTACTGTTTCTTTCTTTATGCATATCTTTTTTTACTTTGTAATTGTTTAATACTCTATTCAATCGCTTTAGTTTACAATATTATTTTTCAATATTACATGAGACTTATGGTTTTGCATTTAAGTCAGTCTTTTTGCTTCCTTGGATAACATCATTCGATTTCTCATTCCCTTGAAAAATGGCAGATCCAATTGGCACTATACATTTATCAAATACTTTGGATTCTTTAGTTGCAGATATTGTAGGTAATTCATCCTAAATAACATAAAAAATATCATCAAGCAATTCTTTATAAGCAACATAGGTTACATGGATCAATTCTTACATTAAATCTGTCGCTGATTGATGTTTGAGCGACAACAGATGTCTCGAGCCAAGCATCGCTTTTTATATTATTGATGCGCAATCGTGCAAATTGTGGTACTAATATACGGGTAATGAGAGACCGACACGATTGAGATACTTTAGGACGTTTTGGAAACACCACTCTGTTTTGTACTTGCTAAAGAAAAAAGGGAATGGACCGCATTAGAAAAAAAAATGGCAGTATGAATTGTATAATCATTTATAAAGATTGATGTAAGAACAATGATCTTTTAACTGATATTTTTTTATATTTAGGAAAGATTATTCTATTTATACTTTATATATATAAATATTTAAATGTTTTCGTGATTTATGATTAAAAAAAAATTTTATAATCGTATGTGGAAAAAAAATATGCGAAAGATCGGAATCGACCCGAGTATACGCTGGGTATATCAGTCTTGGCATATACCTGGGTACCTTTAGCAGTTGCGCATAATTTGTATCGTCAAATGGCAGCCGACCATGAACCATAGCATAAAGCACTACGCCCATGGACCATACATCGGAGAGCTGAGGCTGGTAAGGGATGCCACGTAGAATTTCGGGTGATGCATAAGCGTAACTACCACAGTAGGTTGTACTGAGAGGCCACTCGCCATTCTTTGACTTCATTTGTCCACGCGCAAATCCAAAGTCAGACAATTTAATATTGAAACGATAATCCATGAGTAGATTCTCGCACTTTACATCTCTGCAAGAATTTTCAACAGAGAATTATATTAAAAGATTATTCTTGACAAGATCAATTGTAATAATCAATATTTATGAACATTAATGCACCCGATTTTGAATAATCTTTTTACTTATTGTTAGATGTAAGATCTCTTTCGATGTAACTTTACCACATCTTTCAACAATACTTTAAAATCTTTACTTTTCACTTATGATAGTTGTATTTTTCTTTACCTATGCACTATGCCATGCTCGTGGCAATAATCGATGGCTTCTAAAAGTTGTCTAAACCACCTACGGCTACGTAACTCGTCAATGTAAGTATCGCGTCGTATAACGTCGAGTAAGCTACCATTCTGCGCGTATTCCATAATAATATATACCCTGGAAAAAAAAAACAAGTTTAGAAGAAATTGACAGGCATTCATATAACAGGAGTTCGATTTTATGGGATAAATTTCCATTTCAATCGCTTCCATATCTATTCCGCTAATCTGCCTACAAATGTTATTCAAAGATTAATCTGAAAGATAAACTGACCGATGTGTGGTTTCTATTGCCTGCAAAAAGTGAATGAGATTTGGATGTTTTAATCCTTTGACCACCTCGATCTCACGAGGTAGGAATTTCGTGAGGTATTCTCCAGGCGCCTGGAACTTCGAGACTATTTTCACCGCCACTCGATAATCATATCGATCGGACTTTGCGATCTTCGCGAGTACATAAAAATGTTTGGAACTCAAAAAGAATGTAACATGAAAAAGGAAGGGAAAAGAAAAGGAAATGGAATAGGTTTTACTTTGACGGTGGCATATGATCCGGCACCAATAGTCTTCCCGAGTGTATAACCGTGTGATTCGAGCACTGTTAATTTCTTTTCCGATTTTTCACCATTCTTCTCATCTGTTAATTTCATGCCGGCCTGCTGTTCTTTCGACGTACACTTTATTATTGGTACCATTGCCATTTCTGACAAAAATAAGGCTTTTGGCTACAAAAAAGGAAATTTAAAATAAATTGCAAATTGATGAAATTTATCTCCAAAGTTAATGCTCTTCTCCCCTACAGTTTTACAAAACCAGCGTTATGTTGTAATTTATTAGATTTATCACGATCGATTTTTGTAGAACGAACAATTATTATAATGTATTATATTATAAATAATACGTAATGTTTTTCTATAATGAGCATGGCGAACAGTAATTAATCCTTAAAGAAAAAGTAATTAATTCTTATTTTATAACGGACAATTACCTTGACAATTTCTTCATATTACTTTGAGTAAGTGTCTGTTATTAATGAAGAAGTCATTTTGTTTGTTGCATTGCATATGTATGAACTTTTATTTCTTAATCAGGTGAGATTTTAATTCAAGTTTGGCATCTATGAACGAGAATTTCGAATTTTTAGTGTTTTTTTAGACGAGGAGCATATGACAACTGAAGTGTGAAAGTTATCAGAGATTGAAATTTATGACGAAATCGATAACGAATCAAATAGATTTGAGTCCTAAAGAGAACAATATTATAGGTCGCATTCCGAGTTGCGCGTGAAGCGCATGATGTATTGTTATCCTTCTTTATTAATTGGTGAATAACCAGGACAAATGCATCATGCGCTTCATGCGTAACTTATTGGAACGTATCCAAACATATATGTAAACAAATTAAATTGAATATCAAGTATTTCAAACAACATATTATCGTTTGAATAGGTTCCGTTTAAGTTTCCGTTTATCATTTGAATAGTTTCCGTTTACATACAATTGTGTTTGATTTTGGAGCGTCTTCCATACCGGCGACAGCCGCATGGAAGACGTTCCTTTTAAAGTTACTAGATTAATCTAGTGACTTTAGTTCCTTTAATGCGTCTGCGCAGCCTCGCGGCCAGCCGCCAGAGTTAAGTAAGCCTAGAGTCCTAGATTTATCTCTAGGACTCTAGGGTCGACAAGAATGACAAGCCAACTCATTTACGCCTCTTTATTATACAGCTAGATATCTGCACTTTATCAGACTCTACCATATATTGTCTCGTAAAAGAAATATTTTGCCAAAACGAGTATGAAACTTGTTTTGGCTTATATTTTACGAAGCTACGAAGTCTATTAAAAAACCAAATTTTGAAATTTCATTCTTAAAAACATTTAATAAATAAAATGATATGCTTCGTATTTACAGTGCAGATACATATTTTTATGCTGATATTTTATCTCCAAGAAATAATATTACGTCATAAAACCTTTTTGGTTTCTTTTTTTATGAAGCTGCAATCGCAAAATAAAAATTTATTTTGATATCATCTCACTCGATGTATTACTATAGTG